CATATTGTTTTCAAAGGCAAATTCAATAATATTTTTTCCATTTATATTGCTGTCTCTGTGTTTGATCTTTTCGCTGGATATTTGTCTGTAAGCATTCTCCCTATCAACTTTTGCGTTAGAATCCCCTACAATTATTTTCATATGGTATTTCGTGCAACAGTTGTAGTGAGGCTAGCAACCAGCCAAGAACAGATTTGCTCATAGAATCAACTCAACAAACTTTCTCGGATTAGGATGCCAGTCGTATTTGTGTATGTATAAAATTTGATAAACAAATATTTCATTCGGTAAACAGATGTGTGAAGATCGACCTAAATTTGGATCCCGTACTATATTTCATCAAATAAAACAAATAGAGAGTTACATATGACTTTTGTAGATCTTGAGAAGGCATACGACACAGTCCCGCTAAATAAACTATGGGAAGTTCTGGGCACATCAAACATACATCAAACATTGGTTAGTGCTCTCAAAGATCTATATTATGGTTCAAACTCCCAAATGAAATTCGGAATCCTCTCAGCCGAAAAATTTGCAGTTACTAAGGGTCTCAGACAAGGATGTTGTATCTCTCCCACTCTATTTAAGATTTACATCTCTGCAGCTCTGAAACAATGGAAAAGGAAAGTCAAAGGAATGGGTATACAATTGAATGATCAGGATTACATATATACTTTACAGTTTGCAGATGATCAGGTGGTGATCTGAAATGACAAAGACGACATGGAATACATGCTTAAAAAACTAATTAAAGAATACCAGAAATTGGGATTAAATATCAATTTAGAAAAGACAAAATACCTCTCAATTGGAGCTAAAGTAGAACAACTCGATATCAATGACAATCAAAAAATAAATCCATGTGACGAATTTAAATACCTGGGCGTCATCTTCGACCGTAGTGGAAAAGACGAACGAGAAGTAGAACATCGAATTGTACAAGCACGAAGAGCTATAGCATGTTTGAACGGAGTTCTGTGAAGTAAAGAAATATCAAAGAAAAGAAAATGGAACATCTATGAGACAATAGTTAAAACTAGCCTACTTTATGGAGCTGAGACATGGAGAATAACCGAGAAATATAAGAAAAAGGTCGAAGCCACGGAAATGGATGCCATCAGAAGATCCATGAGAATATCAAGAGCCGACAGAATATGGAATGAAGTGATAAAACAACAAATGGGTATAGAGGGCACTATAGTTAAGGATATTGAGAGAAAACAGCTCATATGGTATGGGCATGTGAGCCTAATGGGGGATGAAAGATTGCCTAAAAACGATGTTGTGGCAACCCCCAGAGAAGAGGAAACGAAGAAGATCACCACAGAGCTCTAACCTGGGAGTTAGAAATGCGATTAGAGCTCGAAATCTGGACGAAGACCTAACTCAAGACAGAATACAGTGGCGTTTGGGAGTCGGACAACGTCGTAAGACGTTATAAAACCGAATATATATCTATATTTCATTGTAAATTAAAAACACTCACATTTATTTTTCATCACAGTAAGTATATTATAAAAGTACCTGGTGATTATGAACACATGGTTTCGATTACCACCCCGTAGACTGTATACCTGGAGGTCACCACAGAATAATGAACAGAATTGCATTAAAAATCAGATCGACTTTATTCTAACCAATCTAAGATTTAGAAATTCCATTGTAAGCGATAGGCCTTTGCTGGAGCAGATGTCCTCTCAGACCATAACCTCCTTGTCTCAAAAATAAAACTGAGGGTAAAAAAGATAATAAAATCCAAAAGTTGTAAGGTGAATACTCATTTACTCAAGATAAATGAAATCCCTGCTGAGGCTTCAACTTGTATCAATCAAGAAATGAAGAAAATAAAATCAGAAATAAAAAACACTGAGAGTGTAAACATTATGTGGAGCAAAACCAAAGATTCTGTTATAAAAACACAGAAAGAAACTTTACAAATGAAAACAGAAAGACGAAAACATTGGACGACTGAAATACTAAAAATCCTGTAACAAAGAAGAAAATATAGAAACAAAACCCAAATAAGTACAGAGAAAAACATAAATCAATAAGGACCAAAATAAAAGAGGCTAAGGAAAAGGGGATGATGGAAACATACATCGAAGTGGAAGAATTGCAGAAAAAGTATCATTATTATAATTTACATAAAAAAGTAAAAGAATTATCTGGAAAATCACAAACAAATACACCTAACCGATTAATTGACAGGAAGATCTTTTTATGGACACAAGAACGGAATCAACACAAATTGATAACGAGGAAGCTTCAATAATATTAAAATCTGAAGTCCAGTACGCTATAAACAACTCAAAATTTGGCAGAGTCCCTGGGACAGATGAAGTTTATATCAAGCTGATTAAACTTACAGACGAAAACAATTTAAGTGCAATAACTATACCCTTTAACAACATATACAAATCTGGTGAGATACCTACAGAATGGCTGCTACCGACCTTTGTTCCGCTACCAAAACTCAAGAACCCCAAACACTGTAATGACTATAAATTAGTCAGCTTAATATCAAACTTGTTAAAAGTATTTTTAAAGATTATACAGGCAAGAATATTCAGAAAGTGCGAAGCGGATATGAGTAATAGACAGTTTGGCGTTCGTAACGGCTTTGGAACAGTGGAAGCTCTGTATAGTTTCACAACTCTTGCCCAAAAATATCGAGACCAACAAAAGATCTTTTCTTTGCGTTTATAAACTATGAGAAAGCCTTCGACAAAGTTAAACATAACAATCTCATGGAATGTCTAAAGAGAAAAGGACTTGACAAAAATGACATTAACATAGTGAAAAATCACTATTGGAACCAACAGGCTGTGGTAACATAAGATGGAAATAGCACGGACACGTAATAGATAAGTAGAGGAGTAAGACAGGGCTGTGTACTTTCACCATTACTATTTAATATATATTGCGAAGAGTTATTTACGCAAGCACTTGAAAACTGTACAGAAGGGATTAAGATAAATTGTGAACATAAAAATAACATACGTTATGCTGACGATACAGTGATTATCTGAAAGTGAGACAGATCTGAAGACGTTACCTAACACAATTTGTGATACTGGGGAACAGTTTGGTTTAACAATAAACATAAAGAAAACAAAAACTATGGTTATTAATAAGAGAGGCAAAGTCATTACAAGAATCTAGATAAAAATGAAACATTTGAGCACGTGGAGAAGATGAAATACTTAAGAGTCTGAACTACGGAAGATCCGAATCCGAAATCAGAAATTCGCTCAAGAATAGAACAATCAAGAGAAGAATTTTTAAGATGAGGAAATTTCTGAGTAACCAAAGACTCAATCTGCAAATCCGATATTGGATGGCAAAATGTTATATTTACTCTATTCTTTTTTATGGTGTGTTGGACATAATGGGAAGAGACAAAGAACTTTTGACCACCATTAAAAGGCGAAAGACAACATATTTGGGGCACATACTTAGAAATAATTGGTACGAGTTGTTGCAGCTGATTATGAAGGATAAAATCAAAGGAAAAGAGTCCTTGTAGACGACAAATATCCTAGCTGAAAAACATTCGCGACTGGACCGGGTTAAACACACACACACATGCTCTTAAGAAAAGCAGAAAATAGAGACGAATTTGCAATTGTTATAGCCAACCTTTGTTAGATGACGCGGCACTAGAAGAAAAAGAATAGTAACAATATAATTTTATTTTCAATTAATTATTTTAGATAATAATAGCAGTTAAAACAATGCTATAGCGATGCTAAAATTAATTTAAAAGTAAACATCCAGTAGACAGTCAGAATAAAATATAGAATTGAAATTTGCAAAGCTGTTTTTCTTAAAGATTGTTTAATTTTAGCTTTGCAGGCTACAGTCATAATATTTGAGGTCGACCTGTTGGCCACCTCCAAGTTGTGTTAATGAAAATACCGATATACTGTACTGATTCACTAGCAAGAACCGATTATGACAGTATTTATTTATTTGATGAATAGACGAACTAATACCTCTTATAAAACATTGTTACATCTCACAAGAGTTTTCAACACCCCGTATGTATTTACGGTGGGTAAAAGTTATCCCCAAAACGGGCCAACAGTGCACTATAAATATAAAAGTATCCACCCCTTGTGTTAACACGGCATTAAATAACTTTTCACCATAATCCCGAAATTTCATGGTCTAATTTAGAAGGCCTTGGAGAATTTACTTAGATAAAACGCCGCTGATATACTCACTATAAAAAAACTTAACGGCCCAACAACCTAATGTCGATCAATATAGTTAAAAGGGAGCTTTGAGCTGTTTATAAAAGAGGTATCTTTGTATATACTAAATAGTATTAAAAAGAATATTCTGTTAACAATATGTGGCGGAATGGCGTGCAAAAATTGTCTACTGTGTGACCTTATTATTTTTGATAAATAAAGGGACTTATATACCATGTTTAAGAGATACCCAATTACTTGGTATAAGGAAAAACGATATAGTAAGTGTTTTAGATTTCAAAGTTGTCTTTGTCGAGAGGGTAAAGGGGACTCAAAAAGAGGAGAAAGCCTATCTTTACTAGATCAAGAAATAAAGCAGAAAGAGAAAAGAAGACCTATCGCTTCTTTACCGGAGCAAATCATCTGGAAAGACGGAATAGGCCATTGGCCAAAATTTTCAGAAAAACGCGGTGATTGTAAGAAAATTTGTGCTTTAAGCCTAATCCTAATTACTTGATGAACTTTTATAGAAATTAACTTTTTTCCCATTGTAACTTGAGAGTCACTAACCCTATTAAAACAAAGGAAATAAAGAATTTTAAAAAATCTTTAAAAATTTTTTAAGTGGATCTTATCCTGGAAGTATATATATAACAGTAAAAATTTCAACAGTTTGGTTTCTATAGAAAATTTGTCCTGTTTAGATTAAGTAAATTATTTACGTTTAAAATCTATTCTACAAAGTGACATGTGAAATCATTAAAAACTCAAAACAAAAACTAGCGTGAATGTGCAATATCTAACCTGGTGATGTGGCCTACTGACCGGTGGAGGTGCTCCCATACTGTGGTGGTACATCATGTCGTGTTTGAGTTGTGGAAGACCGCCTGGTCCGCCCGTTCCTTGATGTTTAATGTCTACAGCAGCCAGCGCTTCCGCCCTACTTATCAGTCCATCGTTCAGTCCAGAGAAAAGATCGCCCTGAAACAAACACTGCTTTCTTAAATTTTTGTTCAACAATGAGTTTACAACTAGATAATATTAACAATTGACACTAGAAAATATTAGGTTTTTAACACGATCGCTGCGTGTTGAAATCTTTGTTCTTGTTGAAAAAACGATAGCTATCAATAATAATATTATTATTATTACATAGTAATTAGGGCTGGTGTCATACCAGCCATAAGCTCATTTACAAGACCCTTAAGCACATTTACAAGAAAAATAAAATAGTTCATTACAAAATAATTAGTTACACAAATAAACTATGAATTAGTAAATTGTATACAGTATTGTTCAGTTTACAAACATGTAACACACTATTTGTTTTTTTAAAGAATTTATAGATGGGGAATTGATAATTTCCGTTAGGAGACTGTTCCATATACTAAAAATACTATAGTCTGCTGGGATGATATAAAATAAACAAGTGCTGCAGATTTCCAAAACCAAACTTTAAAGTTCGGAAGGTGATAATTAAGTCACCATGGAGTCGACGAGCTTTAAAAGTTGGTAACCCTGCTAAAGAAAGTCTTTGTGGGTAATCTGGTCTTCGTTTGAAAGACAGTCTGGTGGCTTTGTTTTGGACATTTTCGAGAAGAGTTCTGTCGCGCACTAATTCTAGGCACCAAACTGTTCCACAGTACTCCAGTAGGGGTCGGAAATTAGTTTTGTACAAACGAATAGAACACGAAAAGGATATTTTTGTAAAAGCCTTATTAAGTAGCTATAATTTACTATTTTATTTTTTAGTGATATTTGAAAAATGCTCTGATTAACTTAAATTTTCAGTAATTGTAACACTAAGGTCACAATATGTTCCCACAGTATCAAATAAATGCCCGTCTATCAAATAAGAAAAACGCCGGTTATTTTTTCTCAAATGTAAAACTATACACTTATCTCTATTTAGAGTAACATCCAATCCGAATACTACCTGAAGATTGTAAGTCAGAAGCGTAGAGAGCTTTTCTAGATATGATAGGAGAATCAAGATCACTAGCATATAAAACTAATAGTAGTGGACCCAAAACAGATCCTTGTGACACTTTACTTAAAACTAGATGCTTTTTAGATGACAGCGAATTGCGGACTCTAAGGCCGTCCGCACATGGGTCGATCGAAGGCACGCGTCTAAGTTCATGCATCGTGCTCGTCTTATATGAACCCTGCGGTATGAGCGATTGTTCACCGCACACTAGTCGATTCAGTTTGCTGTTTGCTCACATCTGCCAACCAGGAAGAACGCATTTTTTTTATATTTATATTGGCATATTATTTCATTTTATAATTATACAATTGAGGGTATTTTTACACTTTCCATCGAATTTTATATGTAACGCCCAGAAACAGAAATTCAATATTTTCCGAATTTTATATTACAAACAATATATTTCTACAAAGCTAGTAGTACTACAAACAACGAACATAATATTCGTCGATCTTTAAAAAATTATTTTAGGGAAAAAAACAATAAAAAACGAAGAAAGCAAATACAACAATCTTATCCCCATAACTAAAAACGTGCGTCTCACTCGAACTTTCTCGTGCGCTACCAATCGCATGTGACGGGAGTCGTACAAGACAAGGAGATTTGCAATTCTAGACATTCTCAATGCAACAGCGAAGGAACTTTGACGGTGGTGAGAGACCTACCCGATTGAAATCGGGCCGACAACGACGAGCGTCGACCCATGTGCGGACGGATTAACACACCACAGTTAATTAATCATGGTTGATCGACTTTTCACAAATCCATGTTGTTGTAGAAGAATGATTTTTTCTGGCAGCAAAAATTCTAAAAGAGACTCTGTGATAATTGATTCCAATAACTTTACAAATAACAGGTGTAAGGCTTATTGGTCTATAATTATTGGGATCTAACTTATATCCTTTTTTAAATATTAGGTGTTACAATATACTGACTTAAACATTTAATTAATTTAAATTTATTACACTAATTAATTAAATTTAAAAAATTTAATTAATTAGTGTAATACCCTGACGCAAATTGGTGCCAGCAACGCATTAAACATATTTTATGTTAGACAGCTTTGATGTGTGCCACATACAGCGAATGTGAAATTAAATTGGTATGAACAAGCATGGTGTGTGCCTGCATGTGGTATCCCTATTAACTTCTTTCTCGGAATGACTGTCTAAACTGGTGGTTAAAACTTGTGAAATGCTGTCATTCGACCATAATTTCTAAATGTGTAATTTTTACTTAGAAATTGGATGGAATAGGCTATTTAGATACTCAACAATTTTATCTAAAAATATCTTTTGTGTATAAATCTAATCTATACACCGTTTGAAAATTATTAATGCACAGTTTTCATGACACAGCCAATTTTTGTTGCTTTTCCATCTTATCATCACCATTTCCCCTAATTCCTTTGTAACATTACACCCAAAGTATTGTTAATCCTTTAAAATTCCAAGCAGCTATCTGTGAGGGATGCACGTAACTTTCTTGTAACGACAACAAGGATAGTTGTTAAATAAGTCCTTTGTATGTTGTTTATTTAAACACTCTCTGCTCTTTTTATTAAATCATCAAATATCTACTGACTACACAGAAATATGTATATTTAACAATGACCGACATATTAGATATAAAATCGGAATTTTCTTGAAAAGCAAGATTAATATAATTATTGATATAGATTTATCGAAAGGTCCTTCTTTAACTATTGTAAAACAAGTATGTAGTTTAAATTATTTTATTACAATGATGTGTTTTGATGACGTCTATCAACGAGTGAAATAAAGAGGAGATCTCGTCACACTTGCCGCAACATGACTTAATCTCTAGCACAAACATCACACATCTCAAATTAATCCGTTCTATTAGATCATTTATCTTTAATTTGCATGGTTCGTTGTAATTTTGATCACTTTACTTCTTCCTATCTGGAAATCTATAGTTTCTGAGACCAGAGAAATCTATAGAATGCTTATTGCTTGCCTATCTCCAAGTCTATTGCTTGCCTATCTCATCACAGCTATTTGGACTTTTAAGACGACTGCTCTGAAAAGTTCGTTTGATGTACATTCGTACCACTCTCTCAGGTTGCGCAGCCATGACATTCTACGCCTCCCTATGCTTCTATTTCCTTAAATATTTCCCTGTATAATCAGTTGGAGCAAGGTGTATTTCTGTCCACGTGTAGTACGTCCGAGATATTCCAATTTTCTTGTTTTAATTGTATGTATTTAGAATTTCTATTTCTTTATTCATCCTCCTTAGAACCTCTTTGTTTGTGACGTGTTCACGATATTTTCAGAATTCTTCTATACACTCACAGCTCGAATGATTCCAGCTTCTTTATTGATGTCGCATTTAAGGTCCAAGATTCTATTCCATAAAATAAAGTCGAAAAAACATAGCACCCCGCCAACCTAACTCCTAGTTCCAATTTTAAATCCCTTGTACATAGCACTATTCTCATTTTGTTTTGATCTCCTGAACGTAATCATTTGTGGAGTTAATCATTGTTCTCAGATATGTATATTTGTTTACTTGTTCGACGTTGGTTCCGTTTATTAAAAGATTATCGTTATTTCTTTGAGTTTTCGATATTCTCATCAATTTCAACTTCTAGACATTCATTGTTAGACCCTAATCTTTTCCATACTCCGCTATTCTGGTTACCAGTCTCTGCAAAATCTTCAATATTTTCGGCTAAGATCACAATGTCGTCCGCATATCTAATGTTGTTAATGTGAACTTCATTTACCTTTATTTCAGCTGTTTTCCCCTTAATAGCGTTTTTCAGGATCTCTTCGGAGCAGGCATTAAAAAGAATTGGCGACAATATGCATCCCTGTCTCACTCCACATCTAATTTCAATTTCTTCTGATAGCTCTTCTTTAACACGTACTTTTGCTCGCTGTTTATAGTATAAATTTAGTATGACCCTGAGGTCGTTGTGGTCAATCTTTTTTTTTTGATTTTAGGACATTTATTAATTATTTATGTCGTACTTTATCGAACGCTTCACGCGTTCCAAGGCCTTTGGGAAAACTAAATTGTGTATCATTAACGTCTTTGTCCAATTTGTGATATATTCGGTTATGAATGACTTTTAGTAGTAACTTTAGCACATGAGCTATCAAGCTAATGGAACGGTAATCGCTGCATTCCCTTGCGTTTTTCTTTTTGGGGAGACAAATAAAAATCGACGTTAACCACTCTTTATTTAAATTATCTAAATTTAAATTATCTAACTTATAAATTTGGTTCAAGAGTGACACTAAAATATAAATGTGCTTCTCATATAAAATTTTTAGGATTTCTATACGAAGCATGTCAGGACCAGGGCTTTTCCCATTCTTCATTGTTTTTAATGCGTGTATTATTTCTTCTTTTGTAATATATAGACCTATTTCTTTTGACGTAAGTTCTATGTGCTCCAGATCTCTTCTTTCATCATCGAACAATTCGCCGATATATTCTGCCCACCTTTGTACTTTCTCGTTCGTATGTGTTATAGTAGTCCCGTGTCTATCCAGAATTGCACGAGTGGAATTTCATTTTCTTAGTCCTGTCAGTTCTTAACTTTCGTGTGTAGGTTAAACTGATCATATTTATTTTGAAGGTCTTCGATGTCTTTGCATTTCTCTTCAAAGTATTTTTCTTTTGCCTGCTTTATCATCTTCCTGATCTCATGGTTTATCTCTCTGTATTTATTGTTGTCTTTGTTTTTAAATTATCTCCGTTGTTCTATTATATTCAGTATCTTGTCATACACCCATTCTTCTTTTCTCTTTGCGGAAGTCTTTAGTATTTATTTACAGGGTTCCAGTAGAAAATGTTTTAGTCGATCCCAGTACTCGTTAATATCATTGGTGTTTGTATTCAATTTACTGCAGTTCACATGATGCAGTTCATGTTAAAGGCAGACTAGTAAATGAATAATGATCTGAATGGCCCTGCAGTCAAACTTGTCGTCATTTGTGTTCAGTAGATCGTATTT